GAGACTCTATCAGGAAGGCCACGCTTCTTACAAAACACTTTAAGTTAAAAACTCATGCAGACACAATCCTGCTCATGCTAAACTGTCCACTAAACTTTACTGTGAAAATGATGTAAAGGGAAGGGAAGGGTGCAAACTAATTATATGATTTGTTAAATATTTGTTATTTAAAGGGGACCTATCATGCAAAATGCACTGTTGTACGTCTTTTCTACATGAATATGTGTCCCCGGTGTTCCAGGGAACTCACCAAGTGTCAGAAAACACAACCCTCTCTATTTTCCTCCATACCCAAATCTCTAAAAAAGGGGCTGCAACGGATCTGATCAAAACTGATCCAGATTTGAACACTGTCCTGACGTCAGGACGGTGGCGCTACGGCTATTGGGCCAACTCCACCAATCAGGAGGAGACAGCCACGGCCATTGCCGTTCTAAAGCGCTGGAGACGCTGTAGTACATATGCCAGGCCTGTAGGTGGTGCTGTTCTCACTGAATCAGCCCTTGCTAAAACAGAGTGCAAATTGAGCAAAATGAGGCATGGCTAATGATATGATTTGTTAAATATTGTGTACATTTGTTCTTTAATTTTAAATTGCATGTTTCTACGTTATCTTATATGTTTATAACACTATTATCATTCTCTATAATTTAATCATTTTGTAGCACATTTTAACGTCTTATATTTTAAAGTTGTATAGCACATTCTTATTTTTACTTCTTATTACATTTTTTAACTTGCATTTTTTCTACTAAATATTTAGATTTTTTCATTTCATGATCATTTATTTTGTTGCACATCATAACTTCTTTTGTTTATATCCTTATTTTTCCTTAATTAAAAAAAGACATTGTTGTTGCACATTTTTATTTTATCTTCCTATGTTTACGTGAATATTATTATTGCATGGTTTTATTGCACTTTAGCACTTGAAACTCCTTTGTTTATATGATTATTATTTTTGTATTTTATTGATCTCATTCTGTAATGGTGAAACTGTCACAAAATCAAATAATGTAGGTGAGATTAAAGGTGGGGTAGGTAATTTTGGAGAAACCAGCTCGAGTGCACTAGAATTAGAAAATACACAACCAGAAAAAATCTGCCACTTCCTCACAGAGCCCCTCCTCCAACACACACGAACGCGCACATGACCAATGAGGGCACGAGATAAGTTTGTGCACAGATGGAAGGCTGACAGGCAGGTAGGCCATCCAGTTATTTTAGCCGGGCCGGCTCAGATGATTGGTCGTGCTTTTTACAGTACTACGGCTTCCACTGATATTTGTTTATGGATTCTTTGTCAAAGCACTTCAGATATTCATTGCTATCGGGATGTTAAGAGCATTCCATGGAATATAACAACAAGTGTATCTCGAGCCGGTTTCTCAAACTTACCTACCCCACCTTTAAGGCCACGTTTACACGGAGATGAAACGGGTTGTATCCGCTACAGTTCTCTATCGTATGGACGGTTCGTTCACACGAGGCCGTAACGGAAACGCGGAAACGGAGCCCTCAAACGGTAACGCTCTGGCGGGCCAAACGGCTCTGTGTGTACGTCCTGACCTATACGATCATTTTCCTGATAACGACGACGCCATAGCCCCGCCTCTCCTGCGTCATTGCTGATGTGTTTTCGCCAACAACCTCTGCTGCTCACTGCTGTAGTATGGTCAGTAGCTACTGTCAGCTACTGACCATACTACAGATGTTAGTGCAACATCTACAGCTCCCCTACCACAACCATCAGCAACAAGTGGACATGGAGAACTACATGAACTACATGTTGCTGAATCCACCGCGGAGAATAGACAGAAGGGCAACCAGGCATCTTCGCTGCTTTTGTGTGTATTTTGTGGCGGAAGTACAGCGCCACTTACAGGCCCGGCATATGTACTACAGCGTCTCCAGCGGGTCGAGCGGTCTCGTGTGGACAGACACGTTTCTTGAGCCGATACCGTGTGGACGGAAGACTTTTTTTTATATCGACTAAGGTTCGTTTTCGTTATCGTATCCGTGTAAACGTGGCCTAACACGACACCTCACCACAGGCTGTGTGTGTGTGTGTGTGGGTGTGTGTGTGTGTGTGTGTGTGTGTGTGTGTGTAGGTGTGTTTGTTTAAGGAAGTAACTGAGTATTCAGGTAATGCAGGAGCTTTGCTGGTTGCTATCAGTGAGCAGATCAGTCCACAGTGGACCTTTGTTATAGGGGGGAGAGAGAGAGAGAGAGAGAGAGAGAGAGAGAGAGAGAGAGAGAGAGAGAGAGAGAGAGAGAGAGAGAGAGAGAGAGAGAGAGAGAGAGGGAGAGAGAGAGAGAGAGAGAATGTTTGCAGAGGAGGGTCTCTACAAGTCTAAACAGTTTTTCGAGTACTTCTCCTTTATTTTTCCTCTACTGAAGTACTAATACTTCACTGTGAAAACTGAACTGTGAAAATACTCAAAAGTCCTGCGTTGGAAATGTAACTTTAAATGTGATATGAAGGAATAGTAACATGTCTGTAGATCAGGAAGTAGCCAACCACGATAATCAATGAGTCAATTAAAGGAAAATCAATCGGCATCCATAAACCATTTTGTAATATGTATTTATTTGATGTATTTGTTCTGCATTGGGTACCTTAACGCTTGTACCTACATTTTGCTTATTTACCTGAAACAGAGTGAGTCTGCCACCTGTTGGAGGAACCACAGATTTGTTTACTGATCAGTGATGTTGTTGCTACTGCAAAACACTCCATGTGTTTGCTGTTGTTTTTAACTTTATATACAATTACAGCAATGTATGTGATGATGCTTTAGCAGTGGTGGAGTATTGTTCAAAAGTGTAAATTGAGATATTTGCCTAAAAACAACTGAATTGTCAATTAATTAGCTAATTTAGAGAACGTTAACTTGCATGACTACACATTTAAGTAATTATTTGTATATATTTTGTAATAGTTGTTTTATTTTATTTAGTTTTTTCATTGGGTAGTTTACATGTTATACTCGAAGTAAATGTTTCTGATTATATTTACATACATACATACTACAGAGTATTTGTACAGCGTGGCATTTGTACTTATATCTCGTCCAACGCAGCGCTTAGTACATCCTCTAATTTGGATCAGTTACTTAAATCAAATGCTAATTAAATTGAAGGAAGTATAATTGATAGAAAGATGTATCATGTAAAGTATTTTGCACATACAAATATGCCAGTCCTTTTACCATTACTTTCAACATAATACTACGGTGGGAACACACTGCCATCTGGTGGTCGACACACAGAACTGCATGACCCCTGAATAAACATAATCTTTGTTTGTGGAAGTGAATCAAATCCTGGGGGAGAAATAAGTCTCCAAATAAGAAAACAGGTATTTATTATTTGTATTTGTTCAGCACAATAAATAGGGAAAACAATAAATAATACAAAATAAATCAGATTCTCAGGAAGTGTAGTTGAAAGTCTCACTTTAACAGATTAAATGAAACACTATATATATAATTTTACATATTTATCGGTGTTTTATATTGTAGTACAATGTGTGCAATTTAATTCACATTTTCATGTTAATATTAATATATATTTGTTTATTATTGCATATTTTACATTAGCACCTTATGATTATAACAATATTTTTATCCTATTTATTAGATTTATTTAGCATATTATTCTAATATAACCATTTTTTAAAACATATTTTTCATATTTTTTTGCACATCATTTTTTATTTGTAATGTGTATGTGAATATTTATATTTCTTTTTTTTCTATTCTAATTTTTTTATTCGACAATTTCTTTTTTAATTGTACCTTTTTACTTCTTATATTTATGTAAATATTCATCTTTTTATAGGACATTTTTAAACACTTTATATAAATATATTTAAGCATTTATTTATATATAGGAGAAACTGTTCCAAACCCAATCTACCCCGGGATAAATGGAATATTCTGAATACAAATATACCTTTTAATCTTATCCAACATATTAATATATTTATATTTGAGCTGTAATTAAGTAAATACTACTTTATTAACCTCAAAGCTTCACCATCTTTTCACTGTTCCTCTCAGTCTTCAGTATCGACTCTCAAGATGAACCCGTCAGTGATTTTTACTGAGACAGAAAACCTTGAGGATGTTTTTCTCTCTTCCAAAACTTAACGACTTCACGTTGCTTTGTCTCCTGAAAACACGTCTTTACATCAAGTGGAAAAATCCTGCATTTCTGAACCTCTACAAAATCCCTTTACCCCTCCTATTGTCTTCGTTTCCCCCCCCCCCTTACTTTGGTGTTCGCGGTCAAATTTGACCGGTCCTGTTTTAACTGCTATTACATTAACACAAAAACCATTAATCATCACCACATTTCATTGAACACCCTTTCAAACTGTAAATATTGTATCAGACTACTGGTATACATGAACAACTGCAGTACATATACAAAGAATAGACACTGAACATGTAGTGCGTGTGCCAGGTGTGATCCATGTGGGGGGATGGGCACATAAGAGCGGGACGTGTGTCAAATTGTTCTGTGTGTGTGTGTGTGTGTGTGTGTGTGTGTGCCAGGTGTGATTCACATGGGGGGATTGGGCACATAAGGGGGCGGGACACATCTAGAGTATGTGTGTGTGTGTGTCTATGTGTGTGTGTGTGTGTCTATGTGTGTGTGTGTGTGTGTGTGTGTGTGATCTGATCCGGATGGTTACTAATTCCTTTTATTTATGGCGGTCATGTTTGAGCGGGAACACCATGGGTGTTACAAAGTTGACTAAATCATCCAAAACTCAATGAAAGTGGTGATCAGCCATTGTACATGTTCAAATATCTACTGTGAAGGATATCATAAAGCCTAAATGCAATCGAATGTAAAACTAAAAAGTTATGATTGATGAAGGTCGTGAATCGGTCAGATTTGACCCGAACACAACAGGAGGGTTTTAATGTGAAGGTGCAGAAAAACTTTATGCAATTTGCAGACAAACAAAAAAACCCTCACACGACTCGTTTTGTATATTTTCACACTGTATTTCAGAAGAAACAGTAACATCTGCTCATGACAACTCTTCCTTTTTAATTACATTTCAGAGCTCTGTGAAGCAAACAAATAAAAACAAAGTTTGAGAAACAGGTTACACAACACTTGAAAGAAGATCAATAACAACACATGAAGCCTTCATTCTTTTCCCATTTCCAAAACGGTGTGATTTCTAATATATTTTGCATGCTGACAAATCCAACAATTTCAGATCATGAATTGACTCCGGGACCTGAGCAAAGTGTCATTGTGTTTTATAGTTTTCTAATGTAATGATTTTAAGAATAATTCTGCTTTTCCACAGTTTTGTTTGTGATGTTTCTACCTTTTTTTCTCAGTGAAACGTACCAACATCAGACTGTAATAACCCAGAATCATTCTGTGACAAAGCGCTGCACACATGTGAAAATGTAGTAAATGAAAAACCTGCAGAAAGATGGAGATGTGATTTGTATTCTAATGTTCAGACACTGAGAGGAATGTAATGCATGCCACCACTTTCTGTAATTCAAAGGCACTGTGTCTTTCCACTTTGCTGCTGTTGGAAAAATCCTACCGGCTATTCACGATCAAACTACTACTCGCTATGACAAAAGACACAATGCACTCACACATTCACAGTGTACTAGCTTGCAGTCTAAAGAGGAGGAACACTGTACACAAAAAAAACTTCCCAAACAGACTTTCAAACGCTAAAATCCTTCATAATTGAAAGGACGGGAACTGAAAGGCTTGTGTGTGTGTGTATGTGTGTGTGCGTGTGTGTACATTCATTTAAAGACACACTCACAGGCTCAGGATCTCCATTAACCCTAATATCAGAGCACCTGATGGCTTTATTTGAATGAGTTTCAAAGGACTAGACTAGGTCGTGTTACGAAATATTGAATGGACTGTTGTCAAAGTCTAGGTGTTTCTGTTAAGTGTGCATGCTAAAAAGTTAGCATCAGCATTATTTAAAACCTCAATCTGCTTTATTTTTAACATCCGAGATTACAAAAAAGGTTCAAACGTATGCATTCAGTGAGTTTTGGGAATATGTTGTTTTCTATCCAGCTCAACCTGAAGCTTTCTTTTGTTTGAGTTACATTTGTATGTATTTTATTTTTTTATAATCCTTATACAAATCCAATTTGTCCGCATCAAAATGACATGTGCAGTTTCCTTCATGGTTGTAGCCGATTGGGTTTTCTTTTGGCAATAGTGTGCATGCTAAAATGTTAGCATTGGTGTTTATCTAAAACCGCAATTAGCTTTTTCTTTGACGTCCAAAAGTACAAAAGCGGTGCATTTAGTTTGTTTTGAACGTTTAACCAGCTTCACCTGACTATGTATTTTGAGTAGTAACAATTTAAGTTACATTTTTATTCTACTTTCTTTTAAAAAACCCCAATAAAAAAATCCAAATACTCTGCACCAAATGTATCATACCATGCAGATGTACATGTGCAGTTCCCTTCATGGTTAAAGCAGTTTGGGTTTTCCTTTAGCAGTAAAGAAATAACATTTATTTACATTAAATTAAACCATTTGCTGTTCATTATAATGCTATCTGTGAGTATTGATATATCAGAAACACAGATAACCATCATTTATTCTCACATTTTGTGTAAACTACCAAAGTATAGTCCTTTAAAACTCGTCCGAACACACAACTTCATACAATGTGTGTGTTCTCTTAACAAATCTCAATTTATTAATTTTTTCTGGCTGAGCATATCAGAAAAAGAACACATTTTTATGTCAACTGTCGTCTCATTTTGAGTAATTTACAGACATTTTCCAGATAATTTCCGCTAAGTGGTCCTTGTGCTGGGAGTGATTAACTGATTTTGAACTGTACTAAACCTACAATACATGTCACACACTAAGTAATGCAGGACGGTGGAAGCAGAGGTGACACAAACTCACACGTTGTGGGGAAAGAGAGGACGGTTGAGCGGTGAACAGTGGTTAGCACAGAGAAGGCAACGATGGCTATGAACCATAGGAGAAGGTAGAGATGTTTAACCTAAAGGAAATAACGGGACCAGGCTAATTGCTGGCAGTGGAAACTGGTGTTCAACGAGTTTGAGCAACAGAAATAATTTAGACAAAACACACGTAGCCTTAAGAGTTCAATCCCACATGTTTAAAGTTATGTGTGAAAGAGAAGTAGATAAAGGCGGTTTTGTAAGATAGAAAACCATTAGAGTGGTGCAGGAATGAGTCCTCAACCCCGGAAATGAGTCAGCGTTCTAGCACTTCCAGATCCCTCATCTTGAAGTCAATGTTTTTTTGAATGGGTTAGATGCTTGAAATAAGGTGTGTGGTTGGAGCTTATTTCTGCAATCATTCACAATCCAATTGGCTTTTTGTCTAGGGAACTAGTAAGATAGTACCTTTAGGGTTTGACCACATAAATACGACATCGCTGAACCACTCTACTGCAATATTAACAATTACATAAAGCAAGCTGTGTCCCTTTAAAGGAGCCACATCCTTTCGTATAGCATGGTTTAGTGAAGCTTTTCTATCGTGAAACAATGGATAACTGGCAATAAGTGAATAACTTATTTAACTTTCACTATTTAGATACTTCCAACGTCTGGCAAGGCTTCCATTATTTACATCCTGTAGCATTATTTCCATTGGTTTTGCTCATATTTTAACGAGGCATCATGTGGATACACCCGGTATATTTGGTCACATGATCATTTTCTGACTTCGTGAGCAAATAATCAGCTGGTGAATGATGGGACACTTGAGATCTGTAAATAAGGCATATTTAGTCTTAAATTTGGACTCTGAGGGATATGGCCCCTCAACATAACACAGCTTGTATCCTTAATGTGATCGCCTCCTAACCCTAACGCTGTCTCCTTAAAAAAATGACGCTCGTAAGCAGCAACAGAAAGTTTGTTTTGAAATGTCATCCAGATTTTTATAACATATCTGCAAAGTAAAATGTATCAGGCGGACCTAAACACCAACAAACATGTACATACAAACATCTTGTTTTAGGAGACAGGGTTGAAACGCCCCGGTCTTTAATAGCATGACAAATCTTTCTTCCGTTTCTCATAGCTTAGGCTTTAAAACGATTTCTCCACCGGAACCATTTGGAGACAACATTTGAGCAAAATAAACGACAGCAACATGTACAGAAATACAGTAACTTTGCAAAAAACAGGCATGCTAACGCTCTAATCTCTAGCCCTGGAAATAACACATTAAAAAAGCTAAATAGGCAGTACATTATTTAAACACATCAAAATATCGACAAAAGAAGAAAGACCCATAATCCATTACCAGGTGATGACCGCACTCCATAAAGAAAAGTAGTGTTGGTAATGTATCCTTACATTTGTGTATAAAGCTACAGTCCAAACAGGGTTATCTACAGGAAAATAGTATGGATCCCTTTTTTACTGTTTACCAATTTCATATTACAAATGAGAGAAGGAACTATGCATTTTATTTCTGTGACGTAGATGTAAAAGGAACTAAGGCATGTGCATGAGGTCTTTACATTTCCCTGGTCAGAAGACACGGTAGAAAATGACTCATGATTTATTTTCCTCCTGATGCGATGGGGTGGTGCGTGACATTGCTTTGAGGTTTCAGTGACTGTGACCCCCCCCCCCCTTTTTTTAACCTTAAAAACCCCACACCCCATTAAACCCCCCCCATAAACCACCCGCTTCTTCTCGTTTTACGCTTTACTTTCATTGCCGTTCGTCTGCGGGGCCTCGCTGGGGACCGTCTTCACTTCGGCCGTGGCGTTCTTCACCTCCGTCTCGCCCACTTTAGTGTTTCCATCCTTCACAATCTTACCGCTGTGAGGACAAACATGGAGCGAGAGCCAGAAGGAGACAAAAAGAGAAAAAGGAGAATGTGTTAGGAGTCTCTCTCACAGCTAAACGGTCTGCTCTGAGCTGCCTTTTGTGTCATTATTCAAAGAGAAGAAGGAGGATAAAAAAAAGGGGTGAAAACATGCAAGATGCTTTGAGGGAATTTGTTTTCCCTTCTGGAACTGAATGCATTTCACACATAATGGGATCAAGCTCACTATCCTAGCCAGACATCGAATAAGAGTACATGGATGTCACAGCTATTTTCCATGAACAATGAATACTGATGTGGAATGAGACAGGGCCGGTACAGTAGGGACAATGCATGAGGGACTGAAAGACTGAGGAATAACCTCCAACACAGAGTACTATACACAAGAGGATTACACGCCGTCTGGACTGAACCCAGACACAATGCAGAGACTTTAAAGCCATACTTCTCTTAAGTCGAACATTTCTTCTTTTTCTGTGAGCATATAAACCTTTGTTGTTGGAAAACATTTGAAGAGCTGCTGCTTGCGGCTTGCATTTTGAAAAAGCGGCGCTTCCCTGCTGTGTCACATACAGTCATCTTTTCTTTGCCAGTTTTCAAAAAGCAATTTAAATCAATACAGTTCTCCTTTTTGCAAACTCAGAGACAGCAGCCTATATACATCTATCTCCTATGGACTTAAAACTGACAATCAGCATAAGTTTAATCACAAAACATGTCCTCTATCTTTGGCAACTTGTTCCTAAAGATATTTACGCATCTAAGCGGACAAATATGACATGCGGAGTTCCTCAAGGCTCCATCCTGGGGCCTCTTCTCTTTTACATCAACATGCTGTATGCAGACGACACACACATTTACATAAACATTTCACCAAGAGAATTACCTTTAAATTTAAGAACTAAGAAAGTGCAACAAACAAATCAATGGTTGGATGTGTCAGAGCTTTGTTCACTTAAACAAATATAACACGTAATTGTTTTTTGGATCCAAATGTACTTAACTGTAATTTTACAATGTTTTGCACTATTACTTTATGTTGTGTTGAACATACTGTGTAGCCTGTGGTCTGCAGAAAGGTTTTTCTAGTCAAGAAAGAGAGAAATTAATCCTCAAGGGGAAGTGCGTCAGTCTGGAAAACCACAAGAAGCCTGACGTCTTGTTTCAGTGTTTTCTTTTCAGCGGGAGGAGGATCAGCACATAGATCAGAGGCAGAGCTGTGCTTCAGGCCTGTCAGAGAGTTATGAGGAAAAAATCCCTTCCAATGACAAGTTTAGTTTTATCAAGGTGCTGCTGAGCTGACAAGAGCCCCACTTCCAACTCAACTCCAAACACTTCATCACTGACATCTTCCTCTGGACATCTCAGTGAGGATACGATGATATGAAGGAGGAGAGAGGGAGGAGTGGTTGTCAGTGAGCCTTAGAAATGCATCCTTAGCTATAGTGCCTCTTGACAGGAATCAGGAACATCTGAAAACTCCTAACCCTAACCCTTCATAGCAAACAACAAGGGCTTTCTGCAGGAATGAAGATGCTGTAGGTGGTCCCTATTGGCTATGACTACATTGACTGCTTATGTTTTATTGCCCTGTTTAACTTTTCTTCTAGCGATGTCTCTGAGTTCTCTGATTTGACCACTACACAGCTACTCAAATAAGTGACTAAATCAACTTGCATCATCCTTAAAATCTTCTCCATATATAATATATTGTTCTGCATTTTAAAACCGATGGTGCTTATGTGAATAGCGGATGATTCTTGTACGTATTCCTGGAAGACCTACGAACTAAATGTGTTACAAACAAAGCATCCTTCAGCTACCTGTAGCAACTGAATAACCCAGAGATGACCAACAAGAGGTTGTTGGTTAAAGGAAGTTTGACTTAAAGTGGACCTATCATGCTATATTATAATAATATGGTGTAGGACCATACCTATATGAGGCATATTTATACTTTTTTCTTTTCAAAATACCAAACAGATCATGCATTTTAGCCATGCCTCATTTTGCTCTATTTGACAATTTCTAGCTCTGTTTTAGCAAGGGCTGATTCAGTGAGAACAGCACCACCTACTGGCCTGGCATATGTACTACAGCGTCTCCAGCGCTTTGGAACGGCAATGGCCGTGGCTGTCTCCTCCTGATTGGTGGAGTTGGCCCAATAGCCGTAGCGCCACCGTCCTGACGTCAGGACAGTGTTCAAATCTGGATCAGTTTTTATCAGATCCGTTGCAGCCCCTTTTTTAGAGATTTGGGTATGGAGGAAAATAGAGAGGGTTGTGTTTTCTGACACTTGGTGAGTTCCCTGGAACACCGGGGACACATATTCATGTAGAAAAGACGTGCAAAAGTGCATTTTGCATGATAGGTCCCCTTTAAGTGATGATCAAACAGGTGGAGGTGGAGGTGGTTGTATGAAGACAGTCATGCACTGGTAGCATCCCAATTGGTTGTATTCCTGTGCCATTAATCTGCACTTGACATTTTAGAAAGGAGATTTCCACCCTAAATAAACTTGCCTTAGATGTTCAAACATAATCACAATGTGCAAAATGCTCTGTTTGGTGAACCTAATGTTGTTGAACCAAGAGATCAAATTACATTTTTACCCCAGGAACATTTTACATTGTTGAAAACTAAAGTTAAGTGTACAGTATGTGCAAATGTAGTATTTCTGGCTAGTTATCAGCACTGTGCTCCATCTACAAACTGCAACATGATTTGTTTCTGCCTTTCATTCAGGTATAACGTTGGTATCTCTGCCTCTTGGTCCTTCTGGTGACATTATTAGAACATGTAGTCAAAGTCTACAACAAAGCATCCATGATTAGAAGCACTGAGGTGTAAAGGTCGGGCACAGTTGTCTGTTATTAACTTTTGCACACTGGGGCTCCTTCACAATGTCATTTAGATGACGTTTGATCTCAGCTACAGGATTGTTTGAGGCTGTTTTTGAATGTAGGAAAGTGTTTCAGTATTTATGTGAACTGAATAAAAGGCTAATCAATTGGCTGTTCCTGTAATTTGGCTGCACAATTCGTTTTATAACATTTCCAAAACTTTACTTCAGCCTCTTAATCAAATTTGTTGTGCTTATTACTTTTTAATAAAATCAATGAAAAGCTCTCGAAATGCTATAAAAGTGGAGATAAATCAAAATGTTTAATTTACTTTACAGAGATTTCCATTATTGTAATACGCTTTAGATAAAAAACTAGTGGGAAGATATAAATGCTAACAAATCCTAATCATTCGGGCTTTTTTCTATCATTCGCCTTCAGAATTCAACCCTTACCATTTCTTTGTATTATTAATGACTTAATACTTTCACAGAATCAATCAGAATCTTGTGAAATCCACCTTAATTCCTCTTTCACTCGACTGAGATTAAGGCACAGTTCAGGTATCATTACATATCATAACACTGAGAACGAAAAAGCACTGTTTCTGCATTAAAGGTGGCTATCTCCTTTAAAAATGGCACACTAGTGTTGACTATTGGGATGCTATCAGAGCAGAAGTGGAGGGATGTGGGGGGGGGTTCGGGGTTAGGGGTGATGGAAGTGTTCATACTCATTTTGGGCCGGTGTGTTGGAGTCTGTGCTCGGGGCTTTGGGTGCATCCTCGTTCGGGCCGTCTACCTGTGAGTCCGTACTCGGGGCCTCTGAGACTTTAGGGGTTTCGCTCAGGTCGACCAGGGGCCCAACATCAGGCTGGGGGTTAGCGTTAGAATCACTGGTTTTGATCGGGGGGCTGTTTTTTGGGGGGGCTTTGGTAGGGCTGATGGTGGTGCTCTCGCTAACCGGACTGCTCTGCGCCGTGCTAAAGCTCTCAGAGTTATTGGCGGTGGAGGGGGGGGGCACGTTCACCACCGGGGAGGAAGTGGAGTCTGCAGCAGGAGGCCTGTTTTCAGTGTAGGGAGGGGGGGTAAACAAGGAGAGAGGAAAGGGAGGAGGAGGAGTGGGGAGAGGACACATCGAGCCACCAGAAAAAAGTGAGGGGAAGAAAGAAAAAGGACATAAGGAGGTGAGGGAGAGTGAACAGAGTGAGTGCTGCTGAGAAACATCTAGAAACTGTTAGAAACAACATTTTGTGAAGGGTAAACAAAAAGGGATACAACAATCAACTATAGAAAGAATTAGGGAGTTTCAGGATTGGGTGATTTGGCTTTTCAGCCCAATGTTAGGACTGTGTTTGATGCTACTGTTGACTTCTTTATTTAGTTATACAGATGTGTAAAAACCACACGGGAACAACAACGAGGCAGCAGAAATATCCTTTTTACAACATACAGCTGTTATATTGGGATGCCACAAACAAAGTTAATTTGACAGAGTAAGACGAAGCAGACTATTTAAAGTGGACCTATCATGCTATATTTTAATAATATAGTGTGGGACCATACCTATATAAGGCATATTTATACTTTTTTTTTCTCAAAATACCAAACAGATCATGCATTTTAGCCATGCCTCATTTTGCTCAATTTGACATTTTTCAGCTCTGTTTTAGCAAGGGCTGATTCAGTGAGAACAGCACCACCTACAGGCCTGGCATATGTACTACAGCGTCTCCAGCGCTTTCGAACGGCAATGGCCGTGGCTGTCTCCTCCTGATTGGTGGAGTTGGCCCAATAGCCGTAGCGCCACCGTCCTGACGTCAGGACAGTGTTCAAATCTGGATCAGTTTTTATCAGATCCGTTGCAGCCCCTTTTTTAGAGATTTGGGTATGGAGGAAAATAGAGAGGGTTGTGTTTTCTGACACTTGGTGAGTTCCCTGGAACACCGGGGACACATATTCATGTAGAAAAGACGTACCAACAGTGCATTTTGCATGATAGGTCCCCTTTAAGTATAATTTATAACTTAGAGGTTTTTGTTCACCAGGTGAATTACAGGTCAACATTCATCTCTACTTTAAGCTCTGCTTTGGTGTCCACCATGCTGCATACTTTGTCCTTACTACCTTATGGTCGTGAACAGAACTGTGTCTCAAATATATAAATCTAATTTGGGCCTGAGCTAAAAAACGTTACCAAAATAAAGAGTTTTGTTGAGAGTAACCCAATGATTTGATTCAGATCCCTATTCAGACCAGGATCAGATAGCACTTAATCTGGGCATGAGAAATCGTGTAGGGGATTACTTTAGTCGTTGTTATTGTTTGTTTGTGTTCTTTGTAATTGTTTTTTCTCTTTGTACATACAATCAGTACAGACCATTGTCTCATTTGAATGCATATATTTTGCTTTCCACTTCTAAATGACAAACATTACTTGTGCATTGTCGAAGCGCAATGAAAAAGATTTTTGATCAGAGAGTAACCCAATGATTTGATTCACATCACTATCAAGATAACGATCAGATAGCATTTCATTTGGGGAACGTCCTGCTCCAGGGGGGGTCTGGTTGTGTACTCACTCAGGATCTGTGAGGGGCGTGGTCTCGTTGGGCTCAGTGGGACCCCCCCCCTGGTTGGGAGTGTTTTCCTCTTCCGTTCTCACCTCCACGATGGGCTCCTTGGACTCATCTTTCCTGTTGATGGATTGCAAAGGAGAGTTAGACCTCATTTACACGCTAACGCAGACACATACGAAACGCAAATGAACCGAATACGATATCAAAAAAGTCTTCTGTTCACACGAGACCGCTCGGGAGCGCTGGAGACGCTGTAGTACATACGCCGGGCCTGTAAGTGGCGCCACAAAATATACCAAAAGCAGCGAAGAAGACCCCCGAGCATGGTTGCCATGGTTGCCCTTCTGTTTATGCCCCGCGGTGGATGTAGCAACTTGTAGTTCATGTAATTCTCCATGTCCACTTGTTGCTGATGGTTGTGGTAGAGGAGCTGTAGATGTTGCACTAACAGCTGTAGCATGGTCAGTAGCAGTAGCACTAGCAGTAGCTACTGACCATGCTACAGACAGTAGCTACTGACAGTAGCTACTGACCATGCTACAGACAGTAGCTACTGACAGTAGCTACTGTCTGTAGCATGGTCAGTAGCTACTGACAGTAGCTACTGACCATGCTACAGACAGTAGCTACTGACAGTAGCTACTGTCTGTAGCATGGTCAGTAGCTACTGACAGTAGCTACTGACCATGCTACAGCAGTGAGCAGCAGAGGCGGGGCTATGGCTTCATCGTTATCAGGAAATGATCGTATAGGACGTACACACGGAGCCGTTTGGCCCCCAGAGCGTTCTGGTTGCAGATCTATCCACCTTGGGACCCGTTATCGTTTGCGGGGTCCGTTTCCGCGTTTCCGTTACGGCCTCGTGTGAACGAACGGGCTATACGAAAGAGAAAAGTAGCGGATACAACCGTTTGCGTTCTCGTGTAAACAGCACATTAGCAAGCTAACACGCTAACAGGCTAACATCATTAGTTAAACAGGCAGTGGTTGAAGAAGTATTTATACATTGTACTTCATTTAAAGTGGAAAAAAACGACTAAGTCACATTTCTAAGATTAAAGGTCCCCTATTATATTGTTTTTCATCAATATATTATAGGTCTCAGATATATACAAACATCAAACAGATCATTGCAGCATTACCCATAATCCCCTCTGTTTCAGCCCTGTTTCAAAAGTGCTGATTCTCTGTCTGTTACTTTAGATGAAGAAGAGACATGAAGAAGAGGGGACACATGTTGATGTAGAAGAGACATGAAGAAGAGGGGACACATGTTGATGTAGAAGAGACGTGAAGAAGAGGGGTCACATGTTGATGTAGAAGAGACGTGAAGAAGAGGGGACACATGTTGATGTAGAAGAGACGTGAAGAAGAGGGGACACATGTTGATGTAGAAGAGACATGAAGAAGAGGGGACACATGTTGATGTAGAAGAGACATGAAGAAGAGGGGACACATGTTGATGTAGAAGAGACATGAAGAAGAGGGGACACATGTTGATGTAGAAGAGACGTGAAGAAGAGGGGACACATGTTGATGTAGAAGAGACATAAAGAAGAGGGGACACATGTTGATGTAGAAGAGACGTGAAGAAGAGGGGACACATGTTGATGTAGAAGAGACATGAAGAAGAGGGGACACATGTTGATGTAGAAGAGACATGAAGAAGAGGGGACACATGTTGATGTAGAAGAGACATGAAGAAGAGGGGACACATGTTGATGTAGAAGAGACGTGAAGAAGAGGGGACACATGTTGATGTAGAAGAGACATAAAGAAGAGGGGACACATGTTGATGTAGAAGAGACATGAAGAAGAGGGGACACATGTTGATGTAGAAGAGACATGAAGAAGAGGGGACACATGTTGATGAAGAAGAGACATGAAGAAGAGGGGACACATGTTGATGTAGAAGAGACATAAAGAAGAGGGGACACATGTTGATGAAGAAGAGACATGAAGAAGAGGGGACACATGTTGATGAAGAAGAGACATGAAGAAGAGGGGACACATGTTGATGTAGAAGAGACATGAAGAAGAGGGGACACATGTTGATGTAGAAGAGACATGAAGAAGAGGGGACACATGTTGATGTAGAAGAGACATGAAGAAGAGGGGACACATGTTGATGTAGAAGAGACATGAAGAAGAGGGGACACATGTTGATGAAGAAGAGACATGAAGAAGAGGGGACACATGTTGATGAAGAAGAGACATGAAGAAGAGGGGACACATGTTGATGTAGAAGAGACATGAAGAAGAGGGGACACATGTTGATGAAGAAGAGACATGAAGAAGAGGGGACACATGTTGATGAAGAAGAGACATGACAAAGTGCATTTTGCATAATAGGTGACCTTTAAAGTCAGATTTTCTTTCTTTCTGTAAAAACGATGTCCTCTTACGTGAACGCGGCCTTGCCCTCCTCGATGTCTTTGCTCTTGGCCCCCGGGCCGGCCTTCCCACAGAAGTTGACGGCGATGCACATGAGGAGGCCACATTTATTCAGGAAGTAGCAGGTGACGTCCACGCCCACCAGCAGCAGGAAGAAGACCACGATGAGGATGCCCACGATGGCGCCGGTGCCCATACCTGAACCTCCGGTCGCTGCGTCTGAAGGGGAAACAACGAGGGGGGGAAACGCAAGCAAAGCAGGGGGGAGAAGTTAGGGGAGAGGGGAGGGTTTTACATGAGGGAGAGGGGATGGAGAGAAAGTTAGAAAAGATAGAGAGAGAAAGGGGGGAGATGATGAGGAATGCAGTCAAGCTTTTAATACACTGATTCAGATTTGTAAGACCTCAGGAGTGGAGAGTTGGACACAAATCATTGCTGAAACTAATTCAGACAAATCTCCACTTATTCATTATGGACGCTCGATATTAACTGTTGAAACCACCATGGCAGACACTCTTGAAGCGTTTAATTTCACACACAATCACAGAACTTACCAAGAAAACAATGAAAACAGTCCCAATATAAATCAAAGTGGGTGATAGTTTACTATAAACAAACAATATATCACATGACACTGTATTATGATGCTTACCTGTGCTTATCGAAGGGATTGCATGTCAGTGTTACATCATTCAAAGCATACAATACTTTACAATTAAAGGGGCCCTATTGTGCTTTTTGCATGATACTGTAGGGCCGTTTTAACACTTCTATTGTGAAACTAGTCTGTTCCATATTTCATGTGTTGATGGAGGTTTTTTTCCAGAGGCTTTTTAACGTTTAATTGCAATAATTTGGCTAGTTATTCCACGATAAACATAAACAACCCTGCCTTATTGAAAAGAAGTCTAGACAGTTTGACTTCCTCACACACAAAAAAAGGCTTTTTGTGTTCGAAAGATTTCTCAACCTTGAGGTCTGTCAGGTTGAATGATGAATGATGAACACAATGTATAAACACTGCATATCAAAACCCATAGTTTATACATCATTCTCAACATGTATTGGCCTTGTAAATAAACACCAAACATTCGTGGTCAGTAATAAATCTCTAATGCTGTCCTTCACATCAAACTGTTGCAACCTCTCTGCCTTGATTTGAGGCGCTCCACTTGAATAGAAATACATTGTAATTACAAGCTATCTGCAATAGAAAGAAATGACAGAAAAACAACGAAACTGATTTTGCTTTGAAGATGAAGCAGATGTGGTTCAAGGGTCAAGCCACTCCTAAACACGGATTTACCTCAGCACCCATTCCATCTTTTGTAAAAGCTTTGACTAAACTTTCTTAGTAAACGTATAAGGTTAAAGCAGGTTATCTGAGCAGCTGTTTATCTCAATATTTGAGGGCGGAGTGCAAATGCAGGTTCTTTTCTCCCCCTCAGATTATTCAAACCAAAACACATGCAGATCCAGACAGAGAGGGAAAAACAGGCTTATAAAAGCAGCTCAGGCTCAGCGTTCATCGCTCATGTTGGCATTTACAAACGAATAACTGGTACACATTTCCAGCTGTGCATGCAACATAGAAGTGCATTTCAGCTGAAAATTAATTAACTGAAGCTTATCTGAGGAAAAGACTGAAAATGCATGCTTCTGCTGATGTTTATATTCACATCAGCAGAAGTTTGGCTGGTTATCCAATCACATAAAAAGCATGATGACATGCAGCCAGATTTTCACTTCACAGGGACGAAACACAAGGTTTTAAGCACAATGCTGCAAACAGGAAGTACTATTGATAATGCTTACTTACTGACGGAGAGCATGATGGATGAGCATGGACCCCAACATGTGAGTAACCAATAGTTAGCATGCAGTGTGTTACGTCACACTGAGCATTTTTAAACACAGATCTGCAGGTTTGGGGAGTAAGGTTCAAGGTTCAAGGTTCAAGGTTCTTTATTGTCAATCTGACATAGCTACAGAGTAATTATGCAGTTGAAAATCTTATGTCACAGGCTTCTCCAACAATGCAACATAATAACATAACATAATAACAATAAGAGCAAGAGCAATACAAAAATAATAATAGTTATAAAAATGAAATAAAGTTATGATGTGGAATAGTGCAGTATGAGTCTATATACAAGTTATTGGAATGATATATATATATTAGGTATTAGATACATACTACTGAGTAGCAGTTGAATGTTTGATGTTGTTTCAACAGTTCAATTGTTTAACAGTCTCACTGCCCGCGGGAAGAAACTGTCTCCGAATCTTCTTGTCCTTGCCCGGATGCTGCGGTAACGTCTGCCAGACGGCAACAGAAAGAACAGTTTGTGGCTGGGGTGATGGGGGTCTTTGATAATCCGTAGTGATTTCTTCCTGAGCCGCTGGGAGTAAAGGTCCTCCATGGATGGCAGCTCCGTCCTGGTGATGTGCTGTGCAGTTTTCACCACCCTCTGTAAAGCCTTACGATCGAGGTCGGTGCAGCTGCCGTACCAGGCCGTCATGCTGCCAGTGAGGATACTCTCTATCGTGCACCTGTAGAAGTTGCAGAGTATCCTGGAATCCATTTTGAACCTCCTCAGCCTGCGGAGGAAGAAGAGCCGCTGTCGAGCTTTCTTGGTGATGGTGGTGGTGTGAAGAGACCATGTCAGGTCCTCAGTGATGTGGACCCCAAGGAACCTGAAGCTTTTGACTCTCTCCACCGTAGTCCCATTGATGGCGATGGGGGCGTGTCCCTCTCCCTGCTGCTTCCTGTAGTCCACAATCAGCTCCTTTGTTTTGCTGATGTTGAGATGGAGGTTGTTCTCCTGGCACCAAGATGTCAGGTTTTCGACCTCCTCTCTGTATGCCGTCTCGTCATCGTCTGTGATCTGGCCGATGACGGTCGTGTCATCAGCAAACTTCACGATGGTGTTGGAGCTGTGTGTGGCCACGCAGTCGTGGGTGAACAGGGAGTAGAGGAGAGGGCTGAGCACGCAGCCTTGAGGGGCACCGGTGTTAAGAATCAGGGTGGAGGATGTGATATTTCCCACCCGCACTGCCTGGGGTCTGCCCGTCAGGAAGTTCAGGATCCAGTCGCAGAGGGCGCTGTTGAGCCCGAGGTCTCTGAGCTTGATGGCCAGCTTGGAGGGCACAATGGTGTTGAATGCTGAACTGTAGTCAATGAACAGCATTCTCACATATGTGTTCCTGTTCTTCGGGTCCAGGTGTGAGAGGGCAGTGTGGAGGGTGAGGGCTATGGCGTCGTCTGTGGACCTGTTTGCTCTGTAGGCAAACTGCAGGGGGTCCAGAGATTCAGGGAGGGAGGAGGTGATGAATAATTTGACTAACCGCTCAAAGCACTTCATTATGATGGAGGTGAGTGCTACTGGGCGGTAGTCGTTGGGGCAGGTGATGATTGTCTTTTTGGGGACAGGAATGATGGTGGAGTGTTTAAGACATGTGGGGACTACAGACTGCAGCAGGGACCTGTTGAAGATGTCTGTGAACACCTCTGCCAGCTGAACTGCACACACCCTGAGAACACGGCCAGGGATGCCATCAGGTCCAGGAGCCTTGTGTGGGTTAACCCTTTTAAAGGATTTACACACATCTGCCCTATTTAAAACAAAAGGGCAGTGTAGCTCCTGGTCCCTCTGTACCTCCACAGCCTGGCTGCTCTCAAAGCGTGCAAAAAAACTATTTAGCTCATCTGGGAGAGATGCGCACGCAGACACTCCCGCAGCACCCCCCGCTGCTCCTTTGTAGTCAGTCATTGTCCTTAGTCCCGCCCACATATTCCTAGTGTTACAGCCTTTGAAGTCAGATTCCACCTTCTCTTTGTACTGTCTCTTTGCATTTTTTATTGCTCTCCGGAGATCATACCTAGACTTCCTGTACTCCTCCAAATCTCCCGCTGTGTGCGCGAGAGTGCGCGCTTTCAGTTTGCCGCGCACCTCACCGTTTACCCAGGGCTTTTGATTTGGGAATGTCCGTACAGAAACCTTCGGTACCACGTCATCGATGCATTTCCCAATGTAGCAGATGACAGTGTCCGTGTGTGTGTTGATGTTATTGTCCTCAAACACACTCCAATCCGTAGATGCAAAGCAATCCTGCAGTGCTGAATCTGACTCCTCGCTCCATCGTTGTACTGTCCTTGTTATCGGTCTGTCCCTTTTAAGTTTCTGCTTGTAAGCAGGCAACAACAGTAGTGAGATATGGTCTGATTTGCCGAAGGGAGGGCGAGGGAGAGCCTTATATCCATTCCGGAAAGGGGAATAAACATGGTCCAGTATGTTTCCCCCGCGCGTCGGGAAGTTGATGTGTTGGTAATATTTTGGCAAAACCTTCTTCATGTTGGCGGTGTTGAAATCTCCGGCCACAACGAACGCCGCATCTGGCCGTGAAGTCTCGGTTTTATCAATAAACCCAAACAGCTGATCGAGTGCCGTGTTGTTGTCGGCGAGTGGCTGCGGCGGGATATACACTGCTGTTATCACAACAGATGTGAATTCCCTCGGCAGATGGAAGGCCCGACATGAGATCATGAGGTGCTCTAGCTGTGCGGAACAGTCCGATGAAATAATCTTCACATCTGAGCACCAGTTGTTGTTAGTCATTACACACACACCGCCTCCCTTACTTTTCCCCGAGTTTGCAGTCCGGTCCTGACGAAAAATAGAGAATCCGTCAGGGACAATAGCGGAGTCCGGGATAGCGGGATAGCGGGATAGCGGTAACAGATTACATTTAACATATAGGTAACTCCCTTACAGTCACAATACAAATAGATGTAATCAGATTACTGTTACATGTCATTACTAGCAGAATTACAATGTTAGTAAAAAGAGGACTCAGAGGACATAAGCAGAAAGTTGAATTTTCTTCAACTTACCCCACACCTTTGGGTGTCTTTTTATGCTTTTTGAACGGAGCACCTTGATGTTGTTCCGCATGAAGGTAGAACAGGCTTTACAATGACTGTCTTTCCACTGAGATAAAAGTGACTCTCAGTGAGGCTTTTCTTAAGGTAGTCAATACATATTTGTTAGACTCAAGAGCTTTGAGGTCTATCTGTATACCTCTGTAACCTCATTATAACCACATTAGTCTGTAGCATTGGTCCTAGAGATTGAACTCATATGTATACTGGCCTCACCATAGCACATTGGAGAAGCTTTGCAAAACTGAATGAAACCATGATAAGTGGTTCCATTTTG